TCAGTCAAAAATTAATTCTCTTCAAATGTTAAATATTTTCAAATCTTCATCATCAAAATTTCCCTTTTAGATGAAATTTCATAAAAAAGCAACCCTTCGGCTCTTGGATGTATGTGCCACAGCACAGGAATCGCTCATTCTCGCCTACTTGAATTACAAAACCACGTCAGTCAACACAGCAGCGCGGCCAAAAAAGCACAGTTGCATAACACATTTCACCAAAACCGCTGAAGTGCAAACGACAAAAACCCTTCAACAGCAACACTTTGCTCTTCCCCTCCCTTATGTGCAAAAACCAAAAATTTGTCAAACAGTGAATTTGTCAAATGTCGGCACTTTATCACGCAATCAAAGGCGGGAAGGCGGGCAGGCGGTCAGGCAGGTGCGGGGGGTTGGTAAGGGGGAGCAGAGTGGCAGCACAAATGAAACCGCTGAATAACTGAGTAGACACATGTTAAGCAACAACAACAACAAATGCAACTGCAACAACAAGAACAACAAGTGCTTTGAAATGCTATACATATTTGTATGCGAGAGCTCTCTGTAGAGCTGGCTTCTATGCGCAAAAGATTTCGGTAGGCACGTTAGGGGGGGGCGGGGACTGGGGAAAAACGCCAGCTGGGCGTTTACTGTTAGAAGCAACCAATATCGGTACAGTGCACGGTAACCAGTTTTTCATTTTAGCTTGTTTTGTTTTTTGTTGTCGTTGTCACTTTTAGCTTAAATAAACATATACATACATACATATATAGTATGTACACATACTAACACTAACTAAGCGCGAACGCGTATCATCATTAGGCAATATTCAAATTTTCACATTCTCGCTTTAGCGCTGATAAAATTGCGTTTGGTTCGAGGAGTGTTTCATTTGAGTTTCGCTACCACAAAGCGAAATAGATGAACAGAAGATAAGGGAGGCAGGCCATCAAGTAGGTGGTTGGCAAAATTACTATACTGTTAGGAATATTGAATTCTAAATGTTGTGCGTTGAAGGCAAAATAGCCAACAACTTGTTGTTGTTGTTGTTGAGTTTATCGCTAAAGTTTTTGTACGCACTTCTGCACGGATATAATAAAAGTTTGCTATCAGTGATAAACGTGAAATGTAAATGACGTGAGTTTAATGCCAAGAAGCGGCAACGCGCTTAGTTGATTCAGCGGAGGCAGCAGGGCGTATGAGTGACATTAATGAATGCTTGGCTGGAGTGAAAATTTCCATTAGGCGTTGTGTGGGATAGTAAGATCAGGCGCTTAATTGCCTTTCGCAGCGTATTTAAATGCAATTAAGCATAGTTCCTACACCGAAAAAAAGCATGCCATATAGTAGAATTTAATAGATCGGCTCTATGAATTCTTCATAGACTAAGAGGCGTGAGTGAGGAAAATGTCGGATATTTTTTGAGGATTTTTATTGGGAAAAGGCGTTTGTCCAATATTTAAATAATAAGTAGCCCCTGGGTTTTCTTTTTTGTTAAGCTTTATCATTAGTAAAAGTAGTGTGGCAATCTTGCATGCAACATTTTTCATACAAAAAATGGGAGATAAAAAATACGGTGGACATTTTAAAAACGCTTCACTTGAGTTTTTAAAGTGATTTGTTCCCGATACGCATTTGCTTAAACCATCATTCGTAAACCAAGACGAATTTAGAAGTAGCACAAATTAAACTAGTTCAAGACAAGTTCGGCACCAGCTTGAGCCTAGTTCGGGAATCGTTCGAGACCAGTATTTATTATTATTTTTTTTTAATAAGCACTTTACGGCTGCCTCCTCTGAAAATAATGATTTTTTTTTCAAGTACACCGTTTCTAGAAAAATTTAAGGAAAAATCCTGGCGTACTTCCATAGCCAAATAGAAGCCGTCATCGATTCGCTGCTTGCTATGTTTGAGTTACGGTCGCTTAACGAAAAATTTTGTATGTGAAAGCAACAACAAAGTTAGCTAGCAAAGATGGACAATAGCGAGTTTGGGTGTACCTCATTGAGTTCGTTCGTTTCGCCCCTCGCTAACTGTTGGCGAATCGATGACGGCTAAAGTTAAGTAGTTTAGGTTAGGTTTGGTTGATGTAGCTGCCGGTCGAATAACCAACTCACTTACAGTATTGGCCATATCTATAGCACCCCCATTTCAAAGTGATATTGTTTGCCACTTATGTTTGATTATTAATTTTCAAGAATTTTCAATTAAAATCTAGTTCATTCTCTAACAAACCCTAAATAAACCCAAGTTTTAAACTTTGTAAAAGACTATAAAAAATGAAACAAATTTTCACCTAAATTTCAAACTTTTTTCTCAGAAGTATTAATCCTACAAGGCATGTGAGTGGAAAAGTCGGAATAAATTCGTAGCTTCCAAGAATAGTATAGTGTCCAAATTGCAGACTTTGCTGCCACATCCTTAACTTTGTATTAACCAACAGCGGGTCAATTGTTCCCAGAGCACTTAGCAGGTTCAACTAAACCTGCAGCTGATCAGAAAGGGTATCCAAAAACTTAGACCTCACTAAAACTTCATAAGTTTCCTCTTGACGCGCACGCCTTTGCAAATAGCTGGCGCTGAAGAGGATTTTTTTTTTTGAATAACCTATATCACAGCGCCATCTACAGAAGAATGAGATACGTTGTGACCTGCGAATTTTTCCAAAAAATATAAAAATAAAAAGCATAAGGTGCCAGTAAACTTTTCTTGAGCTAGGTCCGTTAGAAAGTTAAAATTTAGTGTTACATTGTGTAATTGTAGATATTTTGGAGTTAAAAAAAAAAAAACAAAAAAAAACTCCAAATGCATTTAACATTGACTGCTGATGCCAACTCTGTGCTACACCCCCATTTGTATGCACGAGTTCGCCCCGCTCGCTAATACTAATTGTATGCATGCGCATCGCATACTGAAATTATTCTATTAAAATTATTTGATGAACGTGCTATTTGGTCAGTGTGAAATGGCAGGCAATGTGAATTACATCGCTAAAGCCAAAAAAAGGTCAAATAACAACGATGACAAACGGTGTCAATTACAATCAGTCAATGCAAGCTACACATACCGCTACATATACCGAAAAAATATAGCCCAATTTTTTGATTTTGAAAACAAACAATTTTTAGAGGTCGCTTAAAGCGCTCAAAGTTTTCCATGTATTTATTTTAATTTTATTTTTATTTATTTTATTATTTAATATTTTTCAATCGGAAAGCTCTGTTTCTTTTCAGGAAATTCCCAATAATAATAATACCCAATTATTTATTTTTTCATGGTAACTATATTTTATAGGTCCGCCAAAAACCCTTCGTCATAATCCCAAAAAAATCGTTCATACCAAAAAATGGTTAAATAAACAATTGGGTATTGTTATTGGAAGTCTCCTGAAGAGAACCAGAATTTTTTGATCAAAAAATATAGATTTTCAAGAGTCATATACCTTTCTACGAAAAGTTGTTTTTTTTCCATATAAAATACAAGGAAAACTTAGAGCGCTTTGAGCGACCTCTAAATATTTTTTGATTTCAAAATAAAAAATAGGGGTATTTTTCTCGATATAGAACAATCCTAGGGGGTGAGAGCATTAAAATTCCAACTTTACTTTTTTTTGGACCACCCTAATGCTTATACATGCACACGTCATATGCACAAACGTAGCTTATGCAAATATGCAGACAGCCACAACGGGCTCAATGTAAAAATTTTATTCTGATAAATTTACTATTTGAGTACATAAGTACGTACGTGTATGTATGTAAATATGTTTGCATGTACGGTGTCATGCATTAAATTTAAAATACCAAAAATTTATAGGAAAATCGCAAGTATTCATTTTGCATAGAATTTTCAACTTTAAAAGTAAATTATTTTAAATTTAGTGCGTGTTTTCATTGCATTCGCTGAGTTTTTGTAAACGGTCGCTTTAATTGTATGTAATTATTTGCGGAAATGCTAGTAATTGAAAATAATAAAACGGATCGTTTAGAAGGTATTGTGGAAAGATACATTTGGATTTACGCGGAAAAATTGGTGGAAATTCGTTGTTTTGAAGAAATCAAGAATTCAAGTGGCTTTAGAAGGTTTGACTTTGAATTAAAAAATAAAAAGCTTTCCTTGAAAAATTTTATATTTTTATTAAGTTTCTATTAATCGTTGAAATATTTTTAGGGAACCTAATGATAAATTGCTTTAAATGGCACATCTCGTGTTAGGCTGTTTCAACAAAATGCCACAGATACATATGTATAAAAATCATAATGTATATCCAAATTTCAAACTGTGCGCAAAAATTATAAAAGTTTAACACATTTTCACCAAAAATTGCAAACTTTTTATACTGAACTTTTAGAAAAATTTTAGGGATGAAGTTTGATGGCCCATTAATTTTTTTTTTAACAAAGTGCATGCTTGAAGTGGCTACAAGTTAATTAATATTTTTTTTTTGTTTTTTTTTGCTGACGCTGTTGTGCATTTTCTCCCATATAAATACAAATAATGATCCCAACGGTTTTACCCTGCTTTCCTGCCAATCCGCACGAGGAATCAGCTCGTATAAGGCGGAATTTTATATTGAGAATCTCAACGGAAATTTCTTAAAGCAAAAAGTAGGAATTGTTTTTGAATTGACGCTATCTTGTCTTATTAAATTTGATACCTTGGATTCTAAACCACCGAAGGAAGAAATTTCGAAATTTAGTAAAAAAAAGTGTATGAGCTATAAAACGGTATACCCAAGATTTTTCTACAAGTTCTGAATAAAACGTGTGAAATTTTGGTAACAAATTTTTAAATTTTTATAATTTTTGTAAAAAGATTGAAATTTGGATTTTTATATGGTGTTTGTTTTATACAAAATTGATAAACATTAAATAAAAAAATAAAGCTACAAAAAAAACGATAGCTAACTTATTTAGTTGATCACATGTGTACATATATTAAAATAAATAAAAATAAAAAGGATAAAACAAAAAGTAAGTATATGCCAATAGAAAAAATATAAAAAAATGAAAAATTCTTACATGATTTTGGCTCAAAGCTAGCGATAGCACGTCTTCACTTACCTGAAAATATAAAAAAAAAAATTAAATGAAAATTAGTTCAGGCGTGAACAAGCGTTACAAAAAATATTAAAACGTAGGATAATATACTAAAATTTTTATTCTGATTACCATAAATTTCAGTTCTCACTATAACAGATTCTAAAAATATAATCCAATTCGTTTATGTGACAACCCCTAAAAAGCAGTTTTCTCGTAAAAGTCCAACTTTTTAAGCGAAGTAGCATACCACACTTTCAAGTACGTGGAAACTCTGACAAACAGATTTCGTAAGGAAACGTTCCACGCACAGGTCTATCTCTCAGGGCACTAAATATGACCGACTTTTGTAAGAATGGACTTTTCGCTAACCAAACCAAAACTAATTTTGTTTTATTCTCTAGAAATAGAAGGTTAGACGTCCCTTAAAGTAATCACTATTCAAATTTATTCCAAAGAAAAGTAACTATCGCAGAATCATATGGATTCACACCTCTACGATAAGTCCCATTATCAGCTATGCCTCTATGATGTGGTGGAACAGGCTCTCAATCAATAGCGCAAAGCTTACCAATCTTCACTACAACACCTTTTTTTCGATTTGGATTCACAACTAAACCTAACTTTGAAAGTGTATATCCGCGAGGAGGTCCTTAGAGCCACTTGTATGCTTAAAATAAATATAGTGTGGAGTGAGGCGGAATACGCTGAAGGTAGAGATCAAGCCATTGAATATTTTTGCAATACCTGAAGATAGTTCCCTTATAGTTCCGACCCATAAAACTTATAGCTAAATAAAAAGCCGAAAGCCTGAAAAGGTGCGGACGCCTTAAGAGCCTTTTGTGGAGTGCTACTCTTAGACCGTGGGCTATCTTTACCCAATATTGAGTCTGAACTTATACTTTGTACAATTTTTAGTGATAGCATCAAAACTGATACCTAGCCTGCTTCTGGAAACTTTTTTGAAGATAATATGGGCAATATTCACTTCTCTTTTGAGGAATATGCGTCAATATTTCAAGCCTAGGAATTTAAAATTCACAAAAATATGGACTACGCGGAGGAAGATAGGTAAGAAATTGGAGTTAACGTATCTGTAATTATAGCCAAAGCACACTTTAAGCATTGGCCAGCACTGTAGCTACTTCCAAACTACATAAATACACTGCCGGAACAAAGTATTGGCACAGCTGCCTTTTTACAATATATGCAACAATTTCTATTCTAATATTTTTGCGCCAATTTTGTATAAAAATATAGGTCATGCTAAAATTCAGCAAATTTTCAACTTTTTAATCCGTTTTTTAGAATTATTTTAAGTATGTAGTTTTGTAGCACATAAAATTCTAGTAAAAAAAAATAGTTAGTCAAAATCGCATTGATTTTTGAGAATTTTTTTTTGTTAAAGGTGTATTTTATTATAATAAAATTGATTGGGCTACAAATCTGCATACTCACAAAAATATAAAAAATCTGATTATAAAGTTGAAAGTTAGCATGAAAATTTGCTGAATTTTCGCGAGCTTTGCATAATGTTTAGGAATTACATTCTTATGTTTTTTATTGTAGAATGAACCACATTTTTATACAGAATTAGCGAAAAAATATTAGAATAGAAATTGGTGCATATATTGCGCAAAATTCGCTGTGCCAATACTTTTTACCGGCAGGCAGGCACGTTTCGACTAAACCAGTTATGACATTCCCACCTTCGGCTATTGAAGCCGGCGACCTAAATTGGATGAACATTTTGCTCAGCAATGAAATGACAAATTTGTTCTTATTTCTTGTAAGAAAGGCAAGGTAAAGTAACCCGCTAAAATAAAACAAAGGATAATACATAACTCAAGATAATTATTATATTAAGGACAAATTCTAAAGAGAAGCAAAGAAAAGCGCCTTCAAAAGGGCTGAAGCAGCAAATTAGCACACGTGCAACAAAAGCGCTGAAAACAAAAACGGAGGAATAAAGTTAGTCCTGCACAACTCACAACATTTGCGAAGTGCAAAACACTTCAGTAAAAAAACTAGAGCACGCTAACAAATAAAGTAGTGAAACTGAGTCAGAAGCTAAGCGACTAAAAGGAACGACTGGGATATGTGACTTTTGTTTTTAATTTTTCTACATCCTTTCACATTTCCAACTTATATGCTACTATGTGCAATGATAATTTTGCCATCTCTTTACAATCTTTTCGCTTTTGATACATTCAGCTGGCTTTTCCCTTTTCCATTTTCCACTTTACACACGCGTCGCTGGACCACACGACCTTGTCTTAAGGAGCAATAATTACTACTTCAGGCATTGACATGTGACGCGGCATGTGTGTGTGTAGATATGCCAAACAAACAAGGGCGAAGGAAATAAGGATTTCCAACACACGCCATGAAAACATATTCAAGTCTACATGTATGTCTAAGTTTTTATGCTATGACAAACGGGAAATATGGCAAGCAAGAACTGAATTTACTAACTAAACGAAAAAAAAAAACTAAAAGTAGTGGTAAACCAAAGCACGTCAGAAGCAGCAAAAACCTACTGCAAAGAAGAAAGTGTAGAAGGAAACAAGTGAAAAAGTGCCCAGGACTGAGAAAGTTTTATAAAGAAAAAAAAAAGAAATGTAACATACAAGTGCCACAAGTGGACAAGAATGACGACAAACACATTGCTGTTGCTGACATTTTCATAGTTGCTAACACACATTCAAGTAGTGTATAGAAATTTACGTAGGCATTACAGTGGTGGCCACTTAACTAGGGGCACTACATTCAAAAATTTTAGTATCTATTTATAATTCTTTTTTGATTCATCTTTTTTACACAAATTTACGAAAACCATGTAACTCAAGGTTTCGAACATTGTGCAAGATTTATAAAAATAAAAAAGCAAACAATGTTAATGAAAATTACAAACTTTTTAATCAGAATTTCTAGCAAAAATAGGATTATGCAGTTTTGTAGCCCATCACATTTGAGTACAATATTGTGGTAGCTTCAAGCGGCTAAGAATTTGCGTTGATTTTTGAGATTTTTTTTTGCTAAGTGTTGCTCATTTTCTCCCATATAAAACAAAATTTCAAACATACTTTCTTTGTATTGAATTTGTAGCCGAATTGTTTGAAGAAATTCTGATTGAAAAGTTTGAACCAGGTTTGAAACTTTGAATTACATCGTTTAAGTTGTGGTATAAACTATATTTTTGTAAAAAATGAATTGAAAATAAAGTTAAGAAAAATAAGTGGTCAAAACTTGTAAAGCAGTAGTGTCCCTAAATTTGTGACTACCACTGTGTATGCATGTGAATTTCACAAAACAACACTGAAGAAATATGAGAACCCTGCTTGGGACCACGCGAAGACAGCTGGCAGTACATACATATATGCAATACAAGGGCCAACCGACGGACGACGAGGAAGGCAACAATGATGCCTGCTTTTGCTCAACACTCTGCACTTCTTCGCGCTAAGTTCTCTAACAAACTTGCTGCCTATTTATTTCTTGCTCAAAAACCCTTGTGCTTTAACCCTAACGCCTCACAAGTGAGTATCCGAACTAAGCCTATTTATATGCAAAGGCTTAAGTTATTGCCTCGATGGCTGGTTATTCGGTTGCTTGGCTGGTTGCTGTGCAACTGTGGTTCTAGCGGTCGGAGTAAGCTGGCACACCAAAGTTATTCGTGCGTTCTTAATATTGTAGTAATCAACAGCTTATGCTAGGCTGAGCAATAATAAGTGGCACTTTATTTTATTTGCCACTTTCAGATGGCTGAGGAGTGCATGAGGAGGTATTTAAGTAGAGGATGTAGGGTTACAGATGTAACCAAGCAACATACATACTAGATATCTTCTACGGCAGTTGCTAAGATTAGCATGACGTTTTTAGGAAGAGTGAGCGCGCAGGGATTCGCAAAAAAAAAGCTGTAAATGGAGGAAAATATTGGAGAGAATACAGGCAGTAGGCGGACAGAGAATAAACACCGCCAAGCACGTATGAAGGCAACAAGTCGTTGACGGATTAGAATAGATACATATGTATGTAGGTTAGGGTGCTCCAAAATATTTAAAGTCGGAATTATAATGATTTTCAAGAATTCTATAGCATTTCCACGGAAAGTTCTTTTTTCCCCCATATAAAATACATTTAAAACTTTGGGCGCTTTGAGCAACCTCTAAATATTATTTTGATTTCAAAAAAAAAAAAAAATAAGGGTAAATTTTTTTGGTATAAAACAATCCAATCCTAAGATGTTAGAGCATAAAAATTCCGACTTCACTTTTTCACATGGATTTTTGGACCACCCTGATGTAGGTATCCAGAATACAGTTGAATGAAAGTAAAAGTTATGCGAATACTAAACAAATGAGGAATTAATTCCAAAAAAGTTACAAGTTGAATAGGTACTAAAGGGAATAAAAAATTACACTGGCTATTTGAGAGCTCAGTTAATGTAAAACTACAAAACAAAGTCTTCCCTCATTGACCGTTGACGGCAGAGCAGATGATTTTAACCTCATTCAACCTTTCCTTCCTTCCATCCCACCGACTAAAAAACCTCTGTGGTCTAATATATTGGCAATCATTGTTTACTTAAGTATGCGACATTTTAAGGAAGTGGGGAGTGGCAGCTGCCTTACTTTGAAAATTGCAGTAACCGTTCAACTAACAATTCCCAGCCGGGTTTCGTCATATTCTATGTGCATTTTATATTTTTTATGAACGCTTGCGAGCTCATTTTTTTACATCCAAATATGTACGTATGTTTTTTTAGTATTGAACACTTGTGAGATTATATTGAAGCTTTTAAAGAAATTGCAAACAAAAGTGTCATCAATGGACGTCAATGCCAACGCTGCCAAACCAATGGCACGGTGGCAAGCGCACGCCCGTGTGCCCGACCGCAGTTTCTATGACAATAACGAAGGAGAGAAAATGAAGCAAGAAAAAAAGGTGGTGTAGCAAAAGTATTCAAAGCAAATAGCCAGATGTACTTAAGGCACCTGATTTTCATAGAGCTAGCTACCCTC